CCCGCTGCCAATTCCTCTGCTGCTGCCACCGCCGCCTCCGGTCAGTCAGTTGGTAAGGGGGCACACGTGCGTGCGGGACACACGTGTGCCTGGCTCCTCTCCTTCCCGCTGCTGGCTCCCGAGTGCCAAGTAAAATGTGTTTTAGCCAAGTAAAATGTGTCCAGCGTTAGCTGCTGGGGGCAGAGAGAGAACGGGTTATGAAGTATTTTTTCACAGGGGAAACCTGGCAAGTGGTGCAGGGGAGTGCTGGGTCTCCGTGGGGCTGGTCCCTGCCGCCAGGCTGGGAATGTTTCTCCCTCCGAGCCGTGACGGCGGGTGAGAAGATTGTGAACTCCCGAAGGTGCTAGTGCTGCCCTGAGAAGGCTGCCCAGCTCTCTCCTGGCTAGGACGGCCGTGCCTTGGGCTGGTTCTTCTCCCCTGCAGCATGGCAGGGGACAGCATGTTTCGTTATTCCCGAACAGACATTTATCTTGGTTAATCTCTTGGTGACAGACGCACAGCTGTGGCCAGGCTGCAGCTCGGCTCTATCTCCCCTTAAGCCCTCATTTTCTTTTCTGTCCAGACAGCTTCACCCACAGCAGCTCCGTGCTGCTCCTGGGCCCTGTTGCAGGGGAGAACGGAGCCATGGACCTTGCACATCTGGCCTGTGTGATCCCTGCCTGCAGCAGGGAGCGAGGTCGGCCACTTCTATGTTGGGGAGAAGAAGTGGCTTCCCCTCTTAATACCTACACCCCAATCCTTGGCTGGTTTGGTGGGGAAAGGTGCACGGTGCATGCTAGAAAACACAGTGTTTGCAGAGCACTTCCAGGCATGGATGTGTGAACTGCTTAACAGGGGGTAGAGTCTGCCAGGGCTTCACTGGACCAGGGGAAGTGCCCGTGTGCCTGCGCTTACCCCAGGGTACATGGAGGCCAGACTGTTTTAGCTTAGTCCTGGCTCGAGTCCTGGCTCGCTGAGGGTTAAGGACACTCAGGTAGTTTCCACTTACCACTGTGTGAGGTGGACACACCAGGGGTTACCACAGAATAAACTGACATAGGGCAGCCCCAACCTCATTTTAACCCACAGGAAATGTTCATGTGTCCTGACTCCAAGAGCCTGCACTGTGTGGTGCTCTGGATCTGGCCCCCAGCTCAAGTCGATGCAGGGGCAGCCCACTGATTTCACTAAACCTTGACAGGGAAAGCAGGAGCATAAGGGACTGGAGGAGACGTTCACTGGGGCTCAGGGAATCCCAGCCCCCTTGCACAGGTGCCTAGGTCCTTTTCCAGTGCTATGAAATGTTGCCGGCAGGACGGACTTATGTACGTGGACCTGGCGTTTGAGCCACCAACTTACCAGGCAGCACGAGGGAAGAATGTGACACCATGAACAGCCTCATCCATGGGCTCCTTCATGTGGGGATGGTGGCCACTTCTCTGATGATCGGCATGAGCCATGCCAGCCGCCAAGAAGGCTGTACACGGGGACACGCTCCCTCCTTGCGGGCGGTCAGACTGGACAGGTCAGAAGACCCCAAAGATGAATGTGACTGGGGAGGACATCATTTTCCATCATTGTAGCAAAGACTTCCCAGTAGAACCGGGTGGAACATTTCCCCCATCATGGGACACTTCAACAGAAACTTAAATACTACTTTTTCCCCTCTGAAATTCCTGGCTGCAAACATCCCCTGTGGAGGGACTTCAGGTGGACTCTTGAGCTGTTTGGCAGTCAGAGAACAAGAAACAATCCCCACTGAGATGGGCCCTTTGCCCAGCCCAGAATAAAATAGGAATCTATCAGTGGCGACTTGTAGGGAGCACACGGTGCATGTGCACCCCTGAGAGCGCTGGTGCACCCCCTGACTGGCCATGCTCACCGCTTAGGTGATGGGAAGGGGGGCAGGTGGGAGTGCTGGTGGCCCCCTGCAAGCACTGGCCTATTGCTGCAGACACTCCCAGAAGCGGCTGCAGCAATCAGCCACAGTGATCAACCGTCGCGGGATCAGCCTGAGCAAGGACAAGGCCGTGTCCCCCATGCTGCGCTCCCACTGCTGCCACAGCCTGGCCCTGCCTCGCACACACGGGGGCTTTGTTCAGTGGCAGCCCCTGAGCTCAGCCCTGCGGCTACCTCCAGTAACGTGGAGCAACGCATCAGAAGTGCCTGTCTCAGAAAGACTCAGGCACGTGGGGTCTCCATCGCACCGACATCCGTGAGGGCTCAAGGGGCCTGGTTTTTCAAGGCCCTGGGGTCTCCTGAAGGAGGACATGTGGCTTTCCAGACTCACCCACGAGGGGTGTGTGACTTCCAGGCACCCTCAAGTACCAAAGCATTTTTCAAATCTGGTTGTAGATGGCTTCTGCAAGCCACAAGAGTGCTTCCAAAGGTGTTACTCCCGTTGCCTGGTTTCTCACACAGGTCAGAGCTTTGACTCGGATGATGTCAGATGCCAACAACACCCCAACCCAAAGAGGCTGCAAACACTCATATGGGGGGAGTGGGGTGTACCTGTAAGAAATCAGGGGCTTGAAGAGCTTGAACACAGAGCAGCAGGATAAGACTCACAAGCACCTAAGAGATTTAGGACCATGGGTGCTCTTTAGAGTCAATGGGGCTTGAGCCGCTCAGGCACTTCTTGGGCTCTTCTGGGCAGGCCGGCAAGGGGGAGATGTTTTGAGGCATGTTAGCTGCTTGTGTAATGAATGAGTGTTAATGCTCAAAGTAACTGTTTGCACCAGTCAGATGCAGGGAAATATGATGCAGATCTGTGCACAGCAAGGTAATGAGGTTAAAAAACTCCCCCTCCCCAGCAGCCACGTCCCTGTGGGAGGTGCTTCTCCCCGGAAACAACCAGCCCTGAGCCCTTGCACTGCAGCTCTGCACTTAGATGGCAGCCCTGGGGCTGGAGGGGCAGGATACTCATGTCCATCATGTTCCTCGCCAAGTCCCTGATTGTCTCATCCTTAGGTAAACCACCGACACGGCTCTTGGCACTGTGCTGCTGGGATCAGGGACACAAACATCCTCAGCAGGACACAGACTCCAGCGCTGGGCTCCGGGCTGGATTTCAAGTGTCTTTTTGTGGCCTTGGAGGCTGCTGTGGAGCGGGTTGTTAGGATGCTGCTGCAAGGCTGCCTGGAAAGCAGAAATGTTAGCAGCAAATGCCTTCTGGTCCTGAGACGTGAGGGGCACCTGTGTCAGCCCAAGACCTGCTGGAAGCTGACGATTGCCCTGTTGTGTTTCCACAGTGTTTTCCACCTGCCCCAGCCTCAGCGGTTCCTGTTTGTGGAAGTTGGTGGGACAGCAGAGATCCACTGCTCCTCCAGGGAAGATATGGAAGGGAGACAGTATGTACTGTGGTATGGGAGAAGGGCGGGTAAGGCTCCCACATGCATTAAGGACTGTGTGGATGATAAAAATGTGAGCAAATTTTCTTGCAAGCATCAGACTCGCAGCACATCACTGATAATCAGGGACATCAAAAGGAATGAGTCTGGCATTTATTACTGTGCACATGACCTTGGCAGCTCACGGACTTTTGGGAAGGGAACCACAGTGATCGTTGGAGGTAACGACCCATTGCTTCTTTCATTAGAAATAGCTGAGTGTCTCATTGCTCACGTCCCATTAGAAAATGACAAGAAACTAAGAACGTAGAAGAGTAAATTCCTTTTAAACGCTGTGTTTTTAGCCAAGCAATATGGGTTCAGTATTAGGTTCTAGAGGCAGAGAGAGAAGGGGCTATGCAGCTTTTTTTTCACAGGGAAAACCTGGCAAGTGGTGCAGGGAAGTGCTGGGGTCTCTGTGGGGCTGGTCTGTGCAGCCAGGCTGGGAATGTTTCTCCCTCCGAGCCGTGACAGCAGATGAGAATATTTTGAACCCCTGAAGCTGCTAGTGCTGCCTTGAGAAGGCTGCCTGGCTCTGTCCTGGCTATGACGGCATGCATTGGACTGGTTCCTCTCTTCCAGCTCAGCAGGGAATGGCACATTTCCTTATTCCCCAGTAGACTTTTATCTGGGTTAATCTCTCCATAATAGAGCTGAGCTGCAGCCCAGCCACAGTTGTGGGTGTGTCTGCCGCTGAACTCTTGGCTTCCTTTCTCCCCAGACAGCTTCACCGACAGCAGCTCCATGCTGCTCCTGGGCCCTGGTGCAGGGGAGAAGGGAGCCACGGAGCCTGCACATCTGGCCTGTGTGATCCGGTGCGTCTCCCACCTCGTCCAGGTGTCCTGGCACATTCCCGGAGAGGAGCCAGCCCAGAGGCTGCCGCGCTTGCTGGAAGCCAGTGATGGGTCCTTAACACTCATCCATGACATCAGCATCCCCTGGGCCAGCTGGTCCAGTGGGGTGATGGTTGTGGCAGAAATGCCACCGTCTGTGCCCCTCTCCAGAGATCTGTCTCTGCCAGCGTGAGAGGCTGGTGTTGAATCCCTCGGGGCGGGGATCTCCCTCCCTGGTCTGCATGACAAATGCTCTGGTCACCTGGGCAGGGGGGAAAGGCCCGGCCCTGCGCACAGGCCCAGGTAGCCAGGGATGCTTCGTAGATTGGTCGGCTTGTGGCCAGTATTGGCAGCTTCGATTGGACCGGGCTGCTGAGGTCAGAGAGGTTATTTAAGGGCCCGGTCCAGGAAGAAG